TAGTGGCTGAGCGCGCGGCCCGACGCGTCGACAGAGAGCCAGACAATGACATAATCCCCCCCGCAACACCTGACGAACTAAGACTGACAATACGCAGACTTAAAAACAGAAAAGCCCCCGGACCCGACAATATACATAACACGACACTTAAACGACTACCACACAAGGGCCTCATGGCCCTACTAAACATAACAAACGCGACACTCAGACTAAGACACTTCCCTACCCGCTGGAAAACAGCAAACATAATCCTTATCCCAAAACCCAACAAAGATCACACCATCCCATCCAACTACCGGCCCATTAGCCTGCTCCCGGCTATGAGCAAAGTGGTAGAAAAAATTATCCTAACCCGTCTAAGAACCCACTCCCAAGAACTGCAAGTCATTCCAGACGAGCAGTTCGCCTTCCGACCCAATCACTCCACTGAACTCCAAATCCTTCGCCTTACCGAGCACATCACGGCGGCCTTCAACAGGGGACAGTACACTGGTGCTGTCTTCCTGGACGTCGCAAAGGCCTTCGATACGGTTTGGCATGAAGGCCTACTGATGAAAATGCTCACCAACCAATATCCCATATCCTTTACCAAACTCATAAAATCCTACCTACACCACTGAAAATTCCGCATCCAACTTGATCCCATGTTTTTCATGGGTCTGCCTCGTTTCCTTTCCTTTTTATTGTTTGCCAAATCATTTTCAGCTGTCTTTCTATTCAAATTCATAACCTATTTTCGGAAATGACAATGACGTTAACCGACAAAACGACCAATGGGAAAATTAATCATAGCGCGTGCGTATAATACACAAATTGCAACACCCCCACTTTTTGGCTTCAATTCCCTTTCAAAATGTTTTGTATATGTATAGAAGTATGTGATAATTATACAATTTTTCAAAAACAGTCTCGGTACCAGTGTTGCTTCAAGTAGATTTAAAATCCACAAAACTTAATCTGTACATTCACTGCTCTACTATTTTTTTTTAAACACTAATTACATATTAATGTTTAAAGTTAGTTACTTTTATATTTCTGCATGTGGTACCATTAGAAGTCAATAAAAACTGCCGTTTGTTGACATTTATGTGTGGTTATTTATTATATGGATTTTTTTTCAAAAAAAAAGGGAAAAAAACATAGGAAAAACTACACGTGCTTTGTCTACGCTACGAATAAGTGAAAAGTGAATTATTGTAATGGATAAAATTTTAGATATGATGACACCAACTACAGAGGAATTAACTAAAAACAACATATCACCACAGCAATGGCAAGAATTTTCTATCTTATTGAAACAACGTACACAGTTCTACAAAGAAGAAAGTATGTGTCTGTCCTATACAAACTTTATAGCTTTTATTTTTTTTTGTTACAGATGCGAGGCTGGAAGCTATTTTCAAAAAGCTCAAGTTATTAAATGATGAACTCAAATTATTAAACGGTATATCAGATTCAGTATCAAAACTGAACAGCGTAGTTCAAAAGGCTATGACAAAATCATTAAATAATAACTCGGTTACTTTATCACATGCTGAGAAACTTAGAAAACACAGCAATTATGTATCAAAGTTAAAAATTTGTATAAAATTCTATATGAATCTTAATGAAAAGTTATCAAAGGAAATAAAGGCCACTAAATGGTAAGTTGTTTATGATAAAAAAACTTCATATTTTTTAGGTTTTTTAGTTTCATTTTTACTTGTATTATGGAAACCACTTAAAACAATTCTTATAGGGAGATGGATCAGTCTAAAACAAAGTTAGGAGGAATTTTAAATTTATCTGTCCAAGACCTTCAACAAATGGAAGAAAAAGCTAAAAAATATGAAAATGAATTATTAAAGTTTGAGGTACGTTTTAATATATTTGAGAGTAATTAAACCAATTAACCATTTTATTTAGAAAAAATATCCTTGGTTGAAAGACCCAGAAATCAACCTTCCAAATATAGCGAGAGAAATTGATACCTTGCGAAATTTAAAAGAAGAAAAGAACAAATTAGTAAAAGAACTAAATGTGTACCAAGAACTCAAACCTGATATCAAAGAGGCCGCTCAACAACTTGCCAATCTCAAATTAGAAAATAAACATTTGAGCTCTATGTGTTTAGATAATAAGTGTTAAATTATATGATCTTATTATATTTTTATAAAAGAAATATTGTATATTTTTCAATTTTATATGATCTACATGTGTTAGTAATAAATTTAATTTTTTAAATCATTATGGATGTCTGCCAGTTTATGTTCGTATGAAATTAAAATTTTAATTACAAAGAGATAAAATGTATTTGTTATAGGTACTAAAATAATAAAGTTCTTTGAAAAATCATTCATTAGAAAAATAGTTTTTGTCAGCATTTAGTATGCTACTGTAATTTCACAAGGAAGAATTTAATCTCCAGCGTTGACTGAATATTTCAATCAACGTCCACAGTTATTAGATTTTAATTAAAATTTCCCTAGGTATAATTTTTAATGATCAAACATGACATTGTTATCAAATAAACTGTCATCCATTGTCATTGAAACAAAATTTTCCGTTCTTCATTATGAATAATCGTCCATTTTTTTCCACTAATACAAACGTTTATGACCAAACCATGTTTTCGGCAGGTAATCATAGAAAAATTTATTTGTTATTGAAATCCAGCTCACTTTTTTAGCACCAACCAATTTAAATGGGCAAAACGTATTAGTTTCCCAAGAGCAGCAACGAAAGGTTTTTGATACGTTAAACACCTCTATTGTAGGTCTAGCCGTTGATAACCCTCCAACCAACAATTACTTTGTGCAAGCTCAGAAACAGTTTGTACCTGGTGGAGTCGTGTTTTCTTTTAATCCACAGCCACAGGGTTATATGATGCAACAGATGTAAGATTTTAGATAGTTTTGTAATGTACCGTCTATCAGCATATTTCTATAGAGTGGTCCATTATTAAAAGAAGTGATTCCTATATATGATATTTTAAAAATACTTTTTTAACATCCTGTCTCGCTGTATCTTGAAAACTAAGTTGACACAAGTTCATAAGATAAACTGTCTAAATTCCTTGTATTTATCATACTTAAGGGCTATCTTATATAAAAGTAAGCTAATTGGTTTAAATTGAGTAAAGCAATAGAAGTCAACATATAATAATATTCATTATTTTCTGGAAGGTCATATCCCAACCCCACTCCAAACGGTTATTACCCCTCAAGCTTAGAGCAGCAAATTGCAGCCAATGGATTACAAAAGCATGGTATGGAAACTCTTCATTATCAGCAACAACTTGCCAGTAATCCTTTTAAGTTAAAATTTCATCATAATACATCAACATCTAGCTCTGACTTACCAAGGGGATCAGTACAAGTTCCAGGTTCAAGTAAGATATATTAAATATTTTTATTAAAAGTTATAATTACTGTAGGGACATTTAGTGATAATAATTCATCAAATAATACTTTGTTTATGTATTAAAATAAGATAAAGATTGTTGTCCATGTGTTTATAAATAGATTTGAATATCTTTGTGGTCGATTAATCGTTATAAAACTGTATTAAACTTAACATTCTTCGGGAAATTTCATTGAATAATGTTCAACAATAATTACGTATTATTTGTGTTTTGTTCATGTGTACTTCATCTGAATATATTTGTAAATAGCATATGCCACGATACTAAATCAGAAGATATGACACAATTTTTTGATGGCATGACAATTAAAGTTTATCGAAATGAAACACCTGTGACGATACTTAGGGCAGACACTATCAATAATGAACATGAAGCTACTGAAATTGTAATAGAAGATGAGAATATACCTATTTTAAAATCTGGAACTTTCAATAACTTAACAAAATTGAAATATATATCTCTGAAAAGAAATAACATAGTTGAAATCGAAGCCTGTGCGTTTAGAGACTTGCCAAAAGTGAGGATCATAAATTTAAATTTTAATTTTATTAAAAGGATAACCGAGAATGTGTTTGCTGACCTACCCATCACAAAACTGTATTTGAAAGGAAATGGTATTCAAACTTTAGATACTTTAGCGTTTAAAAATTTATCTTTTTTGACAACATTAGATTTAAGCTCAAACAACATCAAAACATTGCCGGAGAATTTATTTTATAAAACGAACAACTTGAGGTATATTAATTTAAGCTTCAACAACTTACAAGAAGACCAGACAAGAAGAAAAATATATTATACTGGCTATTTTGAAGAAGCCTTTCAGCACAATATTATCGATGAGCATTCAGTGCTGGATTTGAGTAATAACAACTTTACCTATGTAGATAATTTCCTTTTCGAAGGAATTTTATGTGTCAAAAATATTTTGCTGGCGAATAACAATATAAGAAAAATTAGTGATTATGCTTTTACAGAATTAATTTATGTTGACTTCTTAGATTTGGCAGGAAACTATTTAGAAGAGTTGCCCGAAGAAATAATGAAAAAGCTTAAAGGTATTAAGGATATTAATTTACAAAACAATCCTTGGAAAATGGAATTTGTTTGTAAATATGATAAGTGGTGCATAAATCTTAATAAAACTAACACAATGGATATAAAATGCCCTAATTGGTTCACTTAAACTGATTTTATTAAAAAACTGTTTATAATGTATTTTAATGAAATTGGAAATTTCCATTGTAATGTAATTATATATTTCTTAAAATAATTGTGGTTTTTGTTATCCCCTTAGTGCATTAACAGTAAATATTTTAGTAGTAAAAGCTTTAAAAGAATTTTGTTAATTTTTATCATCACATCATGTACCAAGCTGTTAAAATGAAGCTATGTGTTACACCTTTTTTCAGAGATAACAATAAACTCGAGGAAATAGTAAAAGGAAATGGTTTTCTAACATAAACCAAAGTATAAAATTTGTAAATATTTAACTTCTGGAATGAATTGAATTTGAGATTTTCTGTATTTTTCAATGTTTAATTTACTTTTAGGGAACATCCCTGATTTGAATAGTACAGCTGGGGCGCCTTGCCTTCGAAAGCAAAAACAAATAAATACGAGTTATGAAACATCAGTTCCAAACAATAGTTGGATAACCTCTAGTGACATTCCTTTACCTACATATGATTCCTTTAAAACAGTGATAAACTTTGCACGATTAATTTTCTATTTATATTTTTACAGAAGTAAACTTTTGTAGATTAAAAGATTGAATTTGACTCGACAGCCAATCCAACAAAAGTCTCTAGTAATCGATGCACTTGAATCTGTTGATAATAAGACAGCCACAACTAAAAAAAAGGTTTATTTTGTAGATGCATCACAAATGGGTAAGAAGGAGGACAAATGGTCACAAATTTCATGTCGATGCAAATGTAATGGTAAATTTAAATGATTTTTGATAACAACCTATATCTAATATTTCCCTTGAGTAACACATCCATATTACAGTGCACATAGTAATATGCTTAACTTATCGAAACTTTGAAACATGCACGTAAAATTTATCATTTGTATTAAAAATATTTTAAACAGTTTTTATACAAAGTGATTTTTATAGATACCAAGGGAAAAGAAGATAAGAAAAAGAAATCAAAAGCCAAATCTAAGAAAACAAAAAAAAAGAAGGGAAAGAAAGAAAGCAGTGAGTCTTCAAGTGAAAGTAACGATGAGGATCAACTGTCATGCTGTCCTAATGTTTTATTCAAGAATAAGTAGAAGTCAAAGGACAAGATAGTGATAGCCAGTACTGCAGCACAGACATTAGTGAATAAATGGGTAAGATTATTTAATATTTATCTTGGCATATGTCAAAATGGATGGAAATTTTAGTAAAGAACAAACTAAGAATAATGTAACCTTTAATGAATTAAACATGATGATTGACCAATGGATATCGGAAACACAAGAAAACCAAAATGTATTTCCATTACAACATGAAGAACTCAACAAATTGATGTTTGGAATCTGTAATTGTCAAGATAAAGTAAAAGTTGCTACTTACTTTCCAAAGAAGCAGTACTTTAATACTGCTTTGTTTTAGTTGAAAATTTTGTATGAGAAAGTAATGTCGGCAAAATGTTTTCAAGACAATATAGATCAAAACATAAAGTATATATTTAATCGTCAAAAGGATATAGAACAAATGGTTACTAAATTAGAATTAGATGTTAACTCATCATGCAAATGTAAAGTTTCTAAAGATTTTTATAGAGAAAATACGTAAGTTTTCAAATTGATACTATTGGATAAGTATATTAATGTTTACTTATTGATAGATACAAAGAAGCAGAAAACATTAATTCTACATTTTTAAATTTTATACAAGTATTTGAAGAATTACAGAATTGTACCGGACAAATAAAACAGAAAAACAGTGATCCTAGCAATGTAAGTTATTATATGTCTAGAAAAAATATAGTAAAGGAATTTATGTTAAAACATTCAGGATCAGCTTTAGTAATAAATTCATGAAATACTTAACATGTAATAATTATAGATTTGTTCATTCTAAAGGAATATCTACTTCTAAACATAGAATTGTGGACAATAAAAAGGTTCCCGCTTCCCACACTAAACTTTAACAAATTTTATACTTTAAAACCCTTTAATGTTTTAGGTTGAAAACTTTTTATGTTTACAATTGTATGCTAAAAATATATTTTGTCTGTAGTAGGTATACAGGGTGGAGACTTTAACTGGAATAAATTCGCAACCGGGGAGCTGAACAATTTTTTGGAAAAATTCTTGAGACACGTCAATGTTTGAATGTATTTACCTACCTTTTTCAAGCAATATCCGAAATGTAGCCCTTCATGGAGGGCAGAAACCACCCCAACTTTTTTTTTCAAATACAACAATGTGACCTCTCATTGGAAAGGTGACAGGAAGACGAATCCAGCGTACTGATCACATTTATTATTTTTCAAGAGGTTGAGGGATGCATAACATTACAACGTAATTGTTAAGTTTATTACTTTTCAACGTAACAATTGCTCAAAATGTGCACCATTTACTTGTTGGCGAAATACTAATCTGCGATAGGTTTTGTCCCTTACATTATGTAACATTTCCGGTGTTATGGCCCTGGTTTTCATTTCTTATTCCTTCCTTCAGCTCATCAATGTTATTTTGTTTTTGAATGTAAACCTTACTTTTGAGATGTTCCCACAAAAAAATATCCATGGAAATTTTTGGCCACAAGTGACTTTTTGCTAGTGCTACACGCTGGAAGTTAGTTTGTATGCCATATTCAGAGAAACGAATTGTTGTTGCACACTTAAGAAAACGCTTTATTTAAGTGAATCCCTAAAAATCGAAATTTTTGATGATGATTGGATATGGTGATTGCACACAAACTCAATGCGAGGTTGTTCGTCTGTTCCGAGAACCACATCACGAATTGCCACCAATAAATCAAGGTACCATTAGTAAAATAGAAGTACGATATCGAGAGATGATCCATGTCAGGAATGTACGGAGACAGAGGCAGGCTGTTGATGACAACAAGAAGTTGAATTTGTTACTAGCTGTGAATGAAAATCCAGTCATTTCAACCCTTCAACTGGATCGTGATAGTGATCTCAATCACAAGACAGTTTTAAAAATACTTAATCATGAGAAATAACGCCCATATAAAATGCAAGTTGTTCACGAGTTAGTTGAAGATGACCCAGATCGACGAGTTGAATTTTGCGATTTACTGATGAAACATATCGATAAAACGATTTATCTTTAGAGTGGATACTTTTCTCGGACGAGGCTAGTTTTACATTAAATAGGAAAGTAAATCGCCAAAATTGTCATTATTAGGCTGAAGAGAACCCCCATTTGATGAGGGAAAATCATACTCAGCGCCCACAGAAAACTAATCTGAGGGCCAGTATACAAGATAGAGTTGTAGGACCATTTTTCTTTGATGACAATCTTAATGGAGCAAAAACCCTCATTTTTTCCAGCACGAACTAATGCCAATTCTAGCCGCACACAAGGTAAGTTCAAAACTGGTGTGGGACTGTTTACAAATGCTGACTGAACTGGCCACCAACAATACAGTCAGACTGTGTTGGGTGCCAGGGCACAAAGGCATTTGTGGAAATGAGAAAGCGGATGAACTTGCTAGGAAGGGAGCCCTTCTGTGGCACATCTCCCAGTGTGGTCAGGCGGGCTCTGGGCAAATGGACAGGGACAGAACATAGGAAATACTGGACTTCAAGGCCGGGACATAGCCATTCTAGCGAGCGAATGAGCTACTGAGCTTGAATAGAATCCGGCTCAGGAGAGTGACAGGACTCATAACGGGACACTGTCACTTTAGGAAACATCTACATAAACTAAAGCTTATAGACAGTCCGATCTGCCGAGNGAATCTAGTAATGGCCTCATATACAGTGTTCTATTTAAAAAAGTATAGTTGGTTAGCACTCAGGCCCTGTATAGTTGAAAATATTTTACACGGATAAACAATAAAAATAGAAGCAAACATTTTTTCTAAAGCGACTCATAAGGCAGCTATGGGACACACTCTATATGCCAGGATTTAAAAAACTATTTTGAATTTATTTGAATTAGTTTAGGTAAGTTAAAGTAAACAGATAATAAAAACCAGTTCTGAATTCAAAAACTTAAAAAATTATGCAATACTGACAAGGGGAAAGTAAGGAAATATAAAACAGTTTCAATGTTTTTCTTGATTTTAAACTTACCTTGAATTCAGCTGGTCCATGTTGCTTGAAAGTTGTTGAAGTTACTAATGGAGTTACCACGGCCCAAGAATCCCACTGCTCTGGTTCCTGCGAATGGTGAATGGCTGATGTGCTAAATCCTTTAGGAAAAGGAAGATATCCTTCTGGCTCACCCATACTAAGTCAGTAATATACTGAAAATTAAAAGCTACTATACTTTGACGACATGGTGGATACTAATATGATGCAATACCTATTTAATGTTTGGTATGCATTTATATATAAATATTTATTTTTCATATTTGTCATAAACATTTAATAATAAAATATATACCGAATTTTATAACTTAGATAATAACAATAATCTACTAATGGCCAATAAATAATAAATCACCGCTCACTCGAGGTAAGATTGGGTAAATATTACTATCTAGTCTATATTCTATCAATACTAAAAAGTTTAACATATTTTGAATAATGTAATGTAAGACTACATGATTATAAGGGAGCCTAGTAAAGTAAGGAATGGTAAGAATAGTGGTACTAAAATTGTCTCTGGTAAAGACCAGTACATGTCTTTATGTCTAACCTCTAGCAATGACGGTGAGGACGAAACCTAAGAACAACTACCTACCTACAACTATAAACTTTAAATTTACACCACTTAAACTATATAAAAAAATTAATTTATAAAGTGCTTGCTCAAACTTGTAAATGTGTGTTTATCATAGAAAATATAGTACAACTATATTTTCTATGGTGTTTATTAAAGTAAAGTTAACTTCGTTTCACTTATGGAATGCAAGTGATTTCGTAAGAATTGAACTCGAGCTTTAACAAGACAAGATAAACGTTTTCCTTTTACAACAAATCTTAGCTAATCTAACATAATCTTAGTAAATACACTATTCATTATGTTGTCGTTGTCCTTTTACATATTTTTGTCTTAGCTAAATTTCAATTTTCTTGCATAATCTTAACTGGACTAATTTGACAAAAGGTCAAGTCAAACGGAACATGAACATGGTAGGTGCGTTTTGATAGATTGATTCCGGAATTGAATTATGCAGAATGGGCCTTTTATTGCAAGCATATTCTGAATTTCTGAATCCGATTGCAACTTTTGCTTCTGTGGCTTGAAACGGAATTATTAGAAATATTAGAATTAAATGGTGGGGAGATAAAATTTGTGAGGTTACTTAGGTAGCTGGTGTAACCATTATTCTATGGCTAGAAATTGGCCTCAATGATTTGGGATCGAGGGGGATTATCCCTCTTTATCCTGCCTCATCTCGTGTAGGCCTGGACAGCCTTCGTAGGTGGGCCCCATCCGTCGTCTACCCCGACCGCAAATGCGGCCGGTGTAGGCGCTTTGTGGGACCTCCTTTTGTCCTGGCTGGGCCCCGCCGGCTAGGGCCCTTTCTTCTGGCGCTCTTCTTGCTTCGCCGGCTCGTCTGTGTAAACCCCGGGGGTAGTGTCATGTTTATGTGTGGTATGGTTGGGTAGGGTAGTGCGGCTATGCAGCCTGGGATGCGCTTTGCTAAGGTGGCCCTTAG